TGACATTCCTAATAGCCATTTAAACTATAGGCAATCCAGCTATCCATTGACACCCCCCAATAATCAGCAGTTGATATTAACAATCAGGTGTTTTAGATTTCGGCATCAACTCCTCATTGAGCGAAGGGAATGATTTATACTCAGATATTACTTCAGAACTATTGAACGGTAAGTTACCACTCAAATTCTACATCTGATTGCATTTCTTCAGAATTATTACATTTTATAGCGAGGAGGAGACAGAGACAAGATTTTATCAGAACTGATATGAACATGTTAAAACATGGATAGGGAGCTATATCCTTACTGATGCAGGAGGGATCATCCAAAAACAGTGACAAAAGCTTTAGCTTTGGAATTAGTAATCTTTAAGAAAGTAGTTATAAAGCCACCAGACTAACAGTTACCAGTTCTGACAATTTAAATGTGTTAAAACATGATGACCTTTCACTCGAGTAAAGTTTTTGTTCACCTTTATACTTACCTACTGGTTGCCCCTTCAAGATCCCTCTGTTTGGCTGGGGGTCCTCCACTATCCGAGAATCCACGCCTAAAAAACAGAAGACTTAATACATGAAGTAAAACAAATAAGTAGCTGTCAGAGAGACCTGGACACTGGAACTGCAGAGTTTCCAATGCTGGTCTGCCGTTGACTCAAATGTGATCCTGGGTAAGTTAAACTTCCTGTCTATGTGGGTAATGCTTCCCTACCTCACTGAAAACAATCATCATAATAATTATATTTTAGTAACAGTCAAGTTATATAGCATTCTCCATTGCCTATATTAGTGGCATGAAGTACACAATAACCCTGTAATACTGACCCTACAAAACCTGATGGAAAAGTAACATTTAATAATTTGGCGACAGCTGAGAACCACAAAATAAACAGTTTCTTACCTCAGCAATATGCTACCACGCCCTCTACCTCCACCAGGGCCTGTGATGGTCAATAATCTACCTTGAGCGGGCCTGGAAGAAATGTACTAAGTGTTAGAATGCGGGCAGAGTAAGCAAATATGCTCTCTCTGGAGACCTGCATGGTCTCACATACCAGACATTGACTAACAGAGGGAAAACCTCACATGTCAAGAGAATAAACTTTGCTTGTAAAAACCTTGCTGGGGAAAAGCAGCACATACCCTTGGCAAGTGCACAGAGAAGGGATTGCTAGATATGTTTTCTAACACTATATTTAAATTCCCAATCTTGGTGTACGCAGATGAGAAAAATAAGGGACTGTTGGCAACCCAATGACCTCCCCAACTCAGTTCCCCCTCCCTCCCGGCTGGATCACGCCTGACAGGCAACAGAAGGGAGACTCTGTGTGTCCCTCTCAGACACGTTACCAACTGACTGTGCG